CCGTGCCGCTGCTGCCAGCCCCAAGTGCAGCCCATTAGGAAGAGCCCAGTGCAGCCCTAGCCCCTGCCCACAGGGACACATGCCTCCCTATGGCCTCCTGGGGCATGTGCAGTGCTGAGAACTTCTCCCCCCTCCCTCTCCATGCCCCCTGGATGAGCCGCTTATGGCTCTGTCCTGCACTCTGCCACTCCCCGGCTGGGCAGCACCTGCTGCAGCCCCACTCCCTCCCTCACCGCATGGTCTGACCCCCTTCCCCCCATGCCCCTTCCTTTCCCCCTCCCCTTCCACCACAACAGACTTACCAACCAGCTAGACATTGCTCTTCAAGCTGCCAGGCTGGTATCGTAAATAAGATCAGTATCAGCTGATATGCCTCCTTAAAAATCGGCTATCACTATCGGCCCCCAAAATCTCTATTGGTGCACCCCTATTGTTTTGCCTTTGAGTTGAAAAGACTGTTTTGTAAGTAAAAATGTAACGAGAGCATTACATCTTCAAAATCTTGTATAGATTTACATAAACTCTCACCATCCTGTCAAGTAGTAAATTACTCCAAGTAATTTGTCTTAAACTATTTGTGATTCATAGTAAAATACTTGAAGGGTTCAGAAATAAAGTAATTTGTATGTTAACCATATATTAAACAAAGCTCCTTTGGAATATTAAACCAGAAGCTGTTTCCATCTTTTAACAGTGCATTAGTTTACTGTGTTTACATTCTGCATTGCATTGGGGTTTATGTCCGCTTCTAAAATTGAGACACCAGGTTAAAATTAACAATATGTGGTTTTGTTTTGATTTGTTTTGTTTTGTTTTTTCCCCCCAGATCTTTTACCACTCTGTGTTACTCAGCAGATGGCCAGTCTGTTTTGGCAGGTGGATTGTCAAAGTTTGTCTGTATTTACCACATCGAGGAACAAATTCTGATTAAAAAATTTGAAATCTCATGCAATCTTTCCTTGGATGCAATGGAGGCAAGTGACTCTCGCAGTAGATTTTGTTCATTGAAGACTTCTTTGCAGCGTCAGTTAATAAAATGTTCGTGAACGAATCCTACCTACATGGGGGCTCATTTGGTTGGAGTCAATTCCAGGTGAAACCACCAAAAAAGAAAAAAACGCTTCTACTCTGGGTCTCTTAAATCAGACCCAGTCAGCCAGGTTGTAAATGTTTTGGTGTTGAAAGTCCCCAGTAATTCGGATAATTTACAGTTAAGTTTAATTATTGCAAGAATGTGAAACTTTAAAATTGCTGACAGTTTGTGTTGAGCTGTTTTCTTTGTGCTTCACTGGTTTGTGTCTGAGAAGGGATGCAGTTTTAAGGGGTCTTTTATTAAAAGTCAAATTTATAAAAGTTGAGTTGATTTGAACAATGGGATTCTTACAATACCTTCTATCATTCTTACTAACTCACTAGAAACTCTTAATCTCTTTTCTTTTCTGTTGCATTGAAGTGACTGTTTTCAAGAATGTTAACTTAGACTCGTGGTTCTCAACCTTTTGGACTCAAGGCACCCCTCCATAACTTTTGTGAACTGAGTGGCACTTCATTTTAAAAACTAATTTATATATTATGGTGTTTATCTCCTTGCAGAAGATCCAGGAAGTGAGGGTGGGGAATTGGCCAGGCAGGGACAAGCATGAGCCTCCACTTACCTAGTTATCTCCTCACACCTTGCAGCACTTTTCAAAGGGTCTTGTGGAACTTTAGGATGCCACAGCCCCCTGGTTGCGACGTTCTTTGAAGCCTGATAGTAATCGCCCACAAAGTGACTACTGTAGTGGGGCCAGCCTTTGGCAGGCACACCTTCCAGATTGAGCCCTGTGCCCTCCCAACGTGCTGCTCTGGTCCCCTTCCCTTGCCTGTTCTGCTCTCTCTTCCCTGCCTGATCTACCACTGTGCTGCTTGCCCCTTCTCTAATCTGCTGTGAGTCACAGACAAAGGCTGCCTGTGGCATGTGTACCACAGATTGGCCACCACGGACTAGCAGGTACTGTAAGATTGTGTGGCACACGCACTGTCACCACTGACTGAGCATTATCCCACAGTATTGGAAGTTTCAGTGACACCTATTGGATGAAATTACAAAGCAGTAATTCTTAAGTAACTGGACTAGTCCACTTAAATGTTTGAGGAATTATTGAGTAATCCTGTTCTTCATTTGTTTCTCTCAAACACAACCTCCATTTTTGGATCTGAAGCAAATCAAATACTAATATTTTTCAGGAGTACCTGGATCGTAGAAAAATGACTGAGTTTGGCAGCATGGCACTGATTGATGAAGGAGCTGGGGACGAAGATGGTGTTGCCATTGCTCTTCCTGGGGTAAAGAGAGGTAATTCAGCTCTTAAACCCAGTGTCAGTAATTTGTCATTGCTTTTTAAACTGGCTTTGTGGGATAGAAGATTTCTGCTCTGAGTCTGTATGCATTGAAAAAGGATTCCCATTGATGGGAATACCAGGATAATTTTCAAATTTATGTACTCAAAAAGTAAAACATGTTGAATTTTGTCACTTGATGGTTTGATGTTCTCTTTGTCAAATTTTTTTGGCACTGATTTGATAACAGTAACTCCAGGATCAGGATTGGGAATCTATGGTGTGCCTATTTAGTTGGATGTATTCGTGAATCACTTTTAAACTTTTGTTTCAGGTGACATGAGTTCTCGGCATTTTAAACCAGAGATAAGAGTGACAAGTGTCAGCTTTTCTCCCACTGGTGGGTATTGACAGGGAATGTTGTTTATCAGTAATGGGGGTGGGGAACGGCTTTCCACATGCAACATGTGGAAAGACTGAGCAGTGGAGGAGATGCAAGTACCCCCTAGAGTTGACCTCTGCAGAAATGGTTATACTGGTGTGTTAGTGGATTTGTTTCCCATGTTATGTGTATATTCTGGTATCCAGCTGGAATCTCTCAGACATAGTAGCCAATTAAAAAAAAATCATATAGAGCAGGGGGGTTGCAGTGTGTGGCCTGAAGGCTGTCTCTGGTTTGTGGAGCCTTTGAATACAGCCTGTGTACCCATGCTTTGGCAGCATTCAGCAGTGTGGGGCTCACACTGCGCTGCATTACAGTCAGCTGCCTGGGGCTCCAAAGAGGGGGAGCTCTGCCTGTGCCTTGCCACAGTCAGGAGCATGGGCTCTGGCAGGGGCGGGGATGGAGAGGGAGCAGGGGAAGAGAGAGAAGAGGGCTTTTACCTTTCCCAAATCATGCCAAGCAATAGTGACAAGGAATCTTCCTGTTAATTAACAACACCTCTTCCCCCTGACTCCTTCCCTGATGTACCAAGGGTTGTGTTTAAATAGCAACTTCTGCTTTTCTTTTAGGACGGAGCTGGGCAGCAACCACCACAGAAGGCCTTCTCATTTACTCTCTAGATTCTGGACTGGTTTTTGATCCTTTCGAGTTGGACATTGACATCACACCCAGCAGCATACGTAAAGTGCTGCGTCAGAAGGAGTATGCCAAGGCCATCATTATGGCCTTCCGATTGAATGAGAAAAAATTAATTCAGGAGGTTATGGAGACTGTGCCATATAATGAAGGTAAGCAGAGCTTCCCTAAAGTTTTACCAAATGTTTTGCAGTACAGCAAAACTATTACATGTTGAAATCTGTGTTCATTCAGGATGGAGAAGGGCAAGTGCATAAAACCCCTTGTACAGGAGAGAGGTAGGGAAATTCTAATTTGAGTGAAAGGGATCTGGTGAGTGGCATTCACTGTTCTAAGGGAGGAACAGAGTGGGAGTAGCAGCGTATCTTAGGAAGCTGTTCCAAAGGATAAAAGAGTTCTGGAGAGCTGGCAGTTACTGAAAGATACCATATCAGTAGGGGTGCGCCGATAGAGATTTTTTTGAGGTCCCTGTGGTATGGGAGGGAGTCGGGCTGGGGCTGTAGCTGTGGGCTGGGGCTGGGTCATGCTGATTTGGAAGAAAGCTAGGAAACAAAGTAAGAGGTTAACATGGTGGCAACAGGAGCTCTTTAAGGACTTGAACATCACAAAGGAATCGTACAAAAAATGCGAGGGAGGTCATATAATTTAAGATGACTAGAAAGGAAGAGCACAAGCATGTTGAGGTAAAATAAAAAAGACAAAATTAGTTGCAACTAACATGAGGCATAAAAGGCAACAGTAAAATACTCCTGAAATATGCCTATGATTTTATGAATTGCTGGGAATGTCTGAAATGGGAGGATGGTTGGGAGGCATACTGGGGACTTGGGGAAGAGTGCAAGTAGCCCCTAGTCTGTGCTATGAGCTTGGCCTAAAAAAACAACAAAGTGTGTACTGCTTTAGTATTACTAAACAGTTATTTAGAAATATGATTTCCCTGTCCCAGAGAGTTTAAAATCTAGATAAACACAGGAACATGGGGATAGATGAAAGAGTTGGGAAGAGTATTTGAATAAAAACATTATCTAGGAAGTGAATCTTAAATTCAGATATTTTTAATTAGGGAAGCAAGACAAGAAAGAATACAGTGGTCAAAAATGCAGATTTGACTGGGGTAGGGGAGAGGAAGGTTGGTTCACAAGGGGAGTGATAACATGCTGAGTGTATGGATCAGGTACAAAGTCAAGAAGGAGAGGAAATGACATGGGGAAGGAGAAGCGGAGTTCTGTACAATATGGCAGATGGAGAGGACTAATCTGATCTAGTATGCCACTTTCTCTAAAGCAAGGAACAGCAAGATTTTGCCAGTCTATGCAGAAAGAAAAAGTGTAGTGAAAGTGATGGGGAAAATGGGAAGGGGGAAAGGATTTATTGAGAGAGAGAATATTATGGCAAACCCTTTTTTTTGGAGGTACATGTGATGGTCTTGCTTATAAAGGTAGTAAACATTTTCAGGTTCTCAAGAGTGGAGACTTCCTGGAAGGCTGGAAAGTAGTGGCCACAATGGTGACCGATAGGTGCTTTCTATTATTGCTGGGAGAGCCCTTGAAAGGGTACCCATCTCTTTCAACTTCACGTTATTCCAGTTGATAATTTTACCTTTTTTTTTTTAAAACCCCAACAAATCCACAGTTGATGTAGTCTGCTCATCATTGCCAGAGGTGTATGTGGAAAAGGTGCTGGAATTTCTAGCCTCTGCCTTTGAAAAATCTCGTCACTTAGAATTCTATCTTATTTGGACTCGGAGGTTGCTCATGCTATATGGACAGAAATTAAAGACAAGGTGAGTGAACTTGAACATTAAGGACAGAACACTAGGTATTTCAGAACACTATGACAGTTTAGCGGCTTGGGATTCTGAATTGAAACTTACAGGACACTTAAAATTATTCAATTATGACTTTTCAGTGACTTAATATATGCAGAGGTTTGGGAGACATGACTGATTCTTGCAGTTAAGTTGCAGATGAGTCTTTCCCAGATTTGTAGCTAGAATTTTGTGTGAACAGTTAGCTTATAGGTAATATGTAAATAAAAGCTGTAAAAAAGACTTGAAAATGCTTCTTGCTGAAGTGCGCTAAATGCTGGTGTGTTTGGAATGCATTGCAGTGATTTCAGTACGCAGCAGTTAGATAAGATGTAAAAGATGCATTCAGTCCTGCTTCTCTAAGGGAATTAGAACACTTGGCAAATTAGAAATGGGATAGCTACTCCCAGTTGCTATTTGAATCATTTAAATTAGAGGAAGAATCCATTATATGTTCATTTCCTTCCTGCTGTGGCTTGAAGAATAACGCCTTATTGCGTGTTAGTATGTGTGAATGAATCTCAAATGTCAGAATCATTTATTTTTCTGTTCAGCTAACTGCTAAAATAGAGACAGATCATAGGTGAAGTCAGGTTCTTATCTCCGTTTCCAAAGAGAGGTACTTATATCTGGAGTCGTCTTTGTAATTATAGTAAGAAGAATCAGCTCATAAAGCTGCAATTTAACTTTACAATGGAGTGTCTTCTATGGTTGACATTTACATTTGTGATGGGGATGGAATAGCAATTGATTAGCCATGATGAAGGAACAGGAGTGATAAACTGTGTGCATATGATGTATTGACTTAAAATCATACACAATTATGTGTGGATATGGTACAAAGTTGCAAAGTCAGTTGCTTTTATTCAGTAACATTAAGAAAGTTCATATATGTAAAATGAGTTAATAGTATAGTTATATTTTAAAATTTGAAGAATCATGAAGGAAAGGCGTTCTAGAATTTCATGTGTAGCTTCAAAGTTGCACAATAAATTGCACATTTTCTCCTTTTAAGGTCAGGGAAACTGCTGCCCATGATTCAGTACCTTCAGAAGAGCCTCCAGCGTCACTTTGAGGATGTTTCCAAGCTGTATGTATTGTTGTCTCTCAGGGGCTTTTTGTCTTGTTTTGTGCGTTTGTTTTTTTAAATGTAAACCATAATCCTACAAAAACTCAAGCTTTTGAATGCTGAGGGAGTCTTTTTATAGAATACTTGATGATATTTAAAACGTGGAGCCTAGCTTTTAATATTGTCCTTCTGTTACTTTTTGTTTTGTTACAGCTGTGAGTGGAATCGCTATAACATTAAATATGCTCTGGCCATTTCACAACAACGTGGCATGAAACGTTCAGCAGAAACATCAGTGGGTGAGGAGGAGATGGAAGAGTCTGACAGTGATTATCTAATGGAACATTCAGCTGTGGATTCATGAAGACAACTTACTGTACCTTGATTTGATAATTTCATTTTGTGCAGGAGGGGACCTACAGAAAGAATCAGTAATGCAGTGGTATTCACTGAGACTGAGTGGCCCTCATAGTGGCTTTATGTGTTGTGAGTTAGGGTGAGATACCTGCAAAGGTACAGAAAATATATAAACTTAAGACAGCAAAAGTACTGTTCATACCCTACCTAAAATATAGCCTGGTGTGTCGTCTCCTTGAAGTCATGGGACCCAAGCTGATCAGCTTGGTTTTATTGCTTTTGAATCAAAACAAGACATTTGTGTTCATCTGTCAATAAAGATAGAACCATGGGTGGAAAATAGTTCTCTGCATTTTTTTATAAAATGTATATAAATATATAGGAGATGTATATTTAGAAATGTATATTAATATACAGGAAAACTGGATATTGTAAGTCACCCTTCTTTAGCCTCTCCTGTTTCCAAAATGTTTGCATCTCTGGATTAAACTCCTTTTTTATTCATTTATATATCCCATTTTTAAATAAATATTTGAAAGGTTCTGTATTGACTTCACCTTATTTTGAAACGTTACCTTACCTAATTTAATGCAACAAGTATTGGAATGTAGTTTTAAAAACAGAAACTTTTCTCAATTCTAAAATTATCCAACTTAAGTTGAATACTAAAAGTTAAGGACAATTATTAGGATAAATGTTGTACTACACGGGTTTTCAACTTTTTTTAGTCTAAGTACTCCTGGCAGCTGGATGCCGGGGTGGGGGGGGCGGCTAGTGGGAGCGGGGTGTGGGTAGTGCGCAGCTGGACACAGAGCATGGAGGCGGGGACAGTATACGGGCGGGTGGGGATGGAGCACCACTGCTTCCCAGGAGCAGAGGCAGAGCGGGGAAGTTCACTGGGCTAGGGTGAGAGCACTGGTGCCTCTCTGCTGGGCAGGGAAGCTCACCAGGCTGGTGTGTGGCAGCAGCCACCACTGCGTGTGAGGTTCCCCACCCCACAGAGGAGCGCCACTGCCCTTGCCTTGACCCAGCCCTGTTCCTGGGAGGCGGTGGCACTCTGTCCCCACCCACCCACTCGCACGTACCCCCTAGGACCGGACCAAGTATCCTCAGGGGTACACGTACCTCCAGCTGACAACCCCTGTGGTTCTATATAAATAGAATGTGTGAGTAAAAGCTGTGGAATACAGCTTCTGCAGAGAATTGAACTGGTTAATGAACATGGGTTCATTATACACGTTTTTTAACATTGTTCACCTATTAAATAATAGAACTCTATTAAATAATAGAACTTGTATTACAGGTAACTGTGTAAGAGAACAACACATATTAGCATTTGGTTTTTTGGTTGTTTTTTTTAATAGTTCCTTAGGGTGCCAGTTTGTGTGTTTGGGTCCTGGACTGGCTAGAGCAGGGGCCATGTGCCATAGTCTGGCCAGAATGGTCACTGCTTGCAGCATCTGCTGCTCTGACTAGACCATACTGCTCTGGTCACTCTGGGGTCTGTGCTGCATGCAGTGAGAGCCCTAGACAGGCTGGAGCAGCTGCCAGATCAGGTATGCTAGAGAAGGGGCAGGGGGCCGGACCGAATCCAGCCTGGGGGCCAGCCATGTGCTGTGGGTGTGTGTTTTGCCTTTTGAGAGTCTGATCAGACCCAGGGGCAGCAATGCGGCCATGTGGCAAGGCTTCGTGGGCCATATGTTTGACACCCCAGACTAAAAGTGTAAAATGAACATGTATTAAACACCCTAGTGATCAATGTAAATAAAATATATAGGAGTATAACACTTTTTTCTGTACTTACAAACTACTGTTCCCTTCCATTATTTATCTAAGACAGTGAGATTCCGGTCATATACTGACTGTCAGAATGCTTTGGTGATCCTGATGGTGTGGTTAAGTTAGTTATGGTACAACATTTGAAAACCTTTTCATCACTCCTGCTTTTATTTACTGTACTAGCCAATTGCCTGTCAAGAATGATGGGAGTGGGGGGGCTGGGATGGAGTGTCACCACCTAATGCCCCATGCTGCCGCTCTTCTGCCTCTGGCAGGGATGGGTGGGGGAGCTGAGACCAGCGCTGCTGGCCTTGGCTCCTCCACCCCCTGTCCGATCCTCAGCGCAGCTTGCAGGAAGCGGAGTGGGCTGGCCTTGACTCCCCCACCCCCTGTCCGGTCCTCAGCACCACTTGCAGGGAGTGGAGTGTGGGAGCTGAGGCCAGAGCTGCTGGCCTCTGCTCCCTCGCCCTCTGTCCGGTCCTTGGTGCAGCTTCAGAATAATGGCGGTGCTCCCCCACGCTTGGAGCATTCTGATTGGCTGTTTCCGTCAGCCAATCAGAGTGCGAATAAAGCATTACGGCCTGACAGAGATGTAGGTTTTTATAATGTTGGAATTTAGTCAAATCTAAAGACATCCCTGAATTTAAGACCACACCCAACAATTAGGTTCTATCCATGGAAAATTTGTAATAGTTATAATTTTCCATGTATAATTGTAGGGTTGTTGTCCCCAAGGACAGTGTGAGTTCGTGCCCAGTGCGCTATTGCCAATGAACACACAGGGGTGGAGGATCCAACTTAATCTTTATTGTTTCCAGTCTGCGCAGAGAGGGGTGCTTGGCAATCGTTTGCAAAGCAAGCACCACCAGTTTCTACCTTTGGGTACCTT